TCTACTAATTGTAGTCAGTGCCTTGGAGCCAAATCAATTGTATGTCTCTGTTTCCACGTTTTCCTCCGTAATTTGATCACCTTCAGCTGTTTTTTTGTTTGTTTGTTTGTTTTGTTTTTTTAAATAGCTCAATTGGGAAATCTGGCAACATCTTTTAAGAATAGCCACATAACATAAAGCCAGCAAAGACACTTCAGAATGTCCAGCTTCAAAAGTGACATGCCTGCAGCAAAAAGTCACTTGTCTACAATGGAAGTGCACTAGGAGATAGCAGAGTTGAAGAGGAAAGGTTCTTGGGAAGAATCTTGACTCACCATTAACTGAGAAAATGCTGCTGATTGCTTATCTCTACAATCATTGCAACTCACTTGAACTTTGCAAATATAGTCATGCTGCTGTTGGCGCCATGGACACCAGTTTCCCAGTCAAAATGATAGAAATTATATTAATGCATTTCTCTGAAGCTAAAAGTACCTCTTAATGGTGAAGAGAGACCTCTTGTTTGCTTTGCAAGGGCATCACACTGAGGTCCCCTATGGCAAGTTGGCACTTACCTCATGAGTGGTCATGGCATATCGCTGAAGGCCAGGAAGGCCAATGATGCAAAAATGGCCCCTTTTATTCTATTGGAATTTGAGTAATTCCAAATATGTACATGGCTATTATAAAGTTTAGAGTAGACTCAGATGGTTAATTCTGCAAATTGAATGATTTCTGACTGTCCATAATGGAATAAGAGGATTACTTTGGTCTGTGCAAATATGAGTGAGATTGACAAGCTGCAAGTCCTAGTGATTGCAAATTACCCATTTCACATTGCTTTAGGAGCCAGGGTACCTGAGGATGTCTGCAGCTCTAGTACAAGTCACTCAATGGAGGAAAAAAAAAAACAAATGTAAATTGATATCAATAGCCGTTTTGAAAAAATATGCCAAAGGGCATATGCTCACAGTTCCTCTTTTGATATGCCCATTGTATCCAGAACAGTGTGAGCTTCCCTAGTGAGGGGAGCCTGTGGAGTCCTGAATATGGTCTATCTGGCACTTTCCAGGAAAGCTTTACAAGTAGAGTAGGGCTGTGTCCTGTCCCTCCTTTACTAAAGTCACCTAAGTCTAATTCCTCACTGTATTCATTCCAGAGTCCCTGGGTTGTGCACCCAAGTATTTTATTTTGTCTTGCTCCACAGGGGAACATTGAACGGCTTTGCTAACTGTGGTGTGTGTGTGTGTGTGTGTGTGTGTGTGTGTGTGTGTGTGTAAGAGAGAGAGAGAGAGAGAGAGAGAGAGATACCAGAATGTGCCTCACTGCTGAGAAGGGAGGGAGTGTCTGGGTTTGGAGGAGGGAAATGGAACTCATACTGTGATTCCCATCAGCATCTAGACCTTTAATCTACACAAATGAAATGCTCCAATTTAATAGAATTCTAAAAGTAAAACAAATGCTTTGTTCTTAGTGAATCTGTCATTCAGAGCTGCTCTTGGTAGCACATCAACTGTACTTGAAATGTCTTTAAGTGGGTATTTTTTTATTGTGCTTTTCATCTTAACACATCTTTGAGTTGTTAGAGGAACAGGAAGTTTGAGCTCCTCTCAGCATATCAGGTGTGTGCTACTCTCAAGTCCCCATTTGCTTACTCAGCAGCAAAGAGCTTACCTTAGTGAGTATTTTGGCCATACTGAAATAGAGCTTAGAGACTAAGAAACAACAGAACAAATTAATATGAGTTAGCGGTAGAGAGGAAAGAAATACAACATAAGGAGATGTTTGTAATGAAGTGTATTATAGCCACTACCAAAGCGTAACTATTGTTTTGGGGAAGTCAGGTGCCAAAAAGCACCACAAAGTATGGAAGTAAAGAAATAATACTTACTGTTTGTTGAGCATTTACTCTGTTCTAGGCACTGTGCTATGAGTTTTCTATATAATATTTTTCTAAACCTTAGCACATCCATTGCTATGAGTTACAAAGAGGAAATTGAGGTCTAGATGGGTTGTTACACACTAAGTGGCTCAAACCATGGTCTACCTGACCTCATGATATTTTTGTTATTTTTGGTGGATTCTTTATGGTCTTTTTAGATGGACAGCAAAATATTAATATTTTTATTTATCAAAAGTATTTGTATAACTCTTCTTATATTTTTTAGCATTTTCATGTGACTCTGTAGAATTTCAAATCCTTTATTTGTTTTGAATTTTTATTTAAGCCTATTTGGAGTATTTCTATCATTGGAAACTAGGCAAAAACTTAGGGAAGACTTCTTCAGTAGTTGAGATGCATACTCCCAATGCCTGATAGTGTATGTGAGAGAAATGAATCCTTGTTTACTCTCTGCTTATTGCCATGAAGTCTCTGTGCTGAAATGTTGCATTGAGAGTGTGTTTTAAAAATTATGTGGCCAAATTTTCAGGGGTGCAGGGTTTTTGCTATCAGTCTGGATCCTGTCAGGCAGAGACCGAATGGATTTACCAACACTCTCTTGACACAGGAGATGCCCAAGCATAGGAGCTCTACCTCCTATCAGAGTCCACCTTGCTCACTGTCACATGCATGTGATCTCAGGGAAGATGGTCAGAGACTCACAGCCCAGAAGGCTCTTTTCCAACAGAGAAATATTGTTGGGCTGCTGGTTATTAATAGTCACTGAGGAAAAGGGTCCTTTCTGAGTTGCATCTTTATCTTCTTTCTCTTCCAGATGTGTGAAATATTATGCAGTTGACATTGGAACATAACAAAATGTCTCTTGACTCTTGCCCTCTAGGAACTTGGAACTCCGAGGAATGATTAGATATTATCGCTTGAAAAATAAGGTTGGAGGAGGAAAAGGGTATTTTCTGGTCCCCTCCCTACTTCCTGCAGGACCTGGCCTTGGTGTCTTCTTCCTGAGCACAGCAACTTAGTCCTTCTGTTCATTGATATCTCCCCAGGACCTCCACAGAGATACTCAGTAAACATGTATTGAAGGAATTAATGGGGTTAGCAGTTGGGAAGCGCTTCAGAGGCAAGTAGGATTTAAGATAGTTCTTTATTAGAGGAGTTCTATAGGTATGTGTTGGAGGAGGAAGAGAGGAAAGTATAAAGTTAGTTTGGGGAGAAGAATTTTGGGTGAAGTGAGGAGCTGATGAAGGAAAATTTTCATATATTGTCAGAAAAATAGGTGGGAACTACATCTCTAAATTTCAATTTAGAAACTGAATTTCTAACCAAGAAGTGCAAAGAGTCTGTGTTGTGTGTTTTCCTTGGGAGATGATTAGAGTAATAAAGCACATCAGTCATATGATTCAACTTCCCAAGCCTGGAATGCATATCGCATGCCCACCTTCTAAATTTTTTTGCTTGCATAGGATAATTTTTTTTAACTTGCCCTGAGTAGTTGGACTATTTGATATAAAGTCATTGTAATTTGCTGACATATACCACTATATTGTAGTTTGTGGCCATGCTATTATTAAACCTGTTTTAGCTGATTTCTATCAGGTATAATAGTTAGATATTTCTATCTATATATTTATATATATATTTATATATATTTCTCTCTATATATATTTCTATATATGCATATTCTATATATTTCTATCCTTGTCACTCGTCACTTGCTTGATTTTCCTTTGACTTTGCCTGATCTCTCTGTAGAAGAATAGGGAAGAGGAAGGGAAGGTAAATGAATATTTGCTGATCTCTGGAAATCTACCAATCACTTTAACATTTTGAACTTTATTAGTTTATTACATTAAATATGCCTACTTTAATCCAAAGAGTATTAAAAATGCATGTAATTTTTTTTTAGAAAAGTGAACCCATTAGATAAAAGGAAAAATAAAAGAAGTCAGCGTAGCACAAAAATGCCTGCCCTGGGGTCTTTGTATACTTGTTAGAGGTGGTTACATATCAGATTTGGGGCTCAGAGCTTTTTGACTTCCAGTGGAATGGGGGGGAAACATGATGGGTTGTATGCTTCATGGTGTCTGTGAGATAAATCAGTTTCCCAGGAGCAGTCCAACTAGTTCTGGAACCTGAAAGGGAATTCTCCCACGGGTCCTCATAAAGAAGACTATGAAACATTTTATTTTGTCTGCCAGTGGGAAGGGGAGATATCTTCTTATGGAAACTGAGGAGTCCATCAAGATTCTCTCTCCTGATGCGGTCTGAGGTGATAGCTGTGGGCAGGGCCAACCTATCATCTTCAGTCCCTAAATACCTCAAGCCATACCTTTGTAATGAGCTCTCCAAGATATACTCTTTATCCTCTTCACATCACAGTCTGCAGTTACTATGTTTCATATTTGTTTACCGTGTCTTCTTGGAAATAGATTGTAATCTGTGGAAGGGCAAGGACTCTAGGCTGCTTACTCATTCTTCCATTTCCACATAGCACAAAGCCTGGTATATATTAAGAGCTTAATAAATATTTATTGAAGATGGAATGGAAAGAACTGCTGGTAAAATGTACCCAAGTGTAACTGAATTAGTTAGCCCGTTAAAAGGGAATTTTAACTACTTATAAGCCTAGTTTCACTGGTTTGCTAGCTATAAAATACTAGGAATGTTTACCACAATGATTGATCTTGGAACAGCTGACATTCTTCTTGCCAATAATCAGATAGCATCAGATGGCCAGTTGTCTGTTGAATTCACCCTATACAGAAAATCTGTTAGAGTAGATTTTATAATCTACACCTCACCGATGAGGACACAAAAACTCAGAGAAGTTGAATTATGGATTTATTTTCTACTTATAATCAAAAATGTATTTTAAAATCTAGACATTTTCATGAGTATATCATATAATTTGGCTGTGGTATATGGGGCAGCTACCTCTGTATACATTAGTTAAATGTTAGGCATTTCTAAAATAATCAAGGTGTTTGTGGCAACCAGTTATATGGCTAACTTTTGCTGGCTTTCTTTTCAAATATGGATTACTGCCATTCCTGGTGAGAGAACACATGCACCTTTTTCCTGTGGTGGCAGATTAAGGGCTGTGTCTCTCACCCTACAGGGACACAGAATACAAAGGATTGCAGCTCTCCCTGGATCAGATCTCAGCCTCTAAACCAGCCTTCTCCTACACCAGCAGTTCCACTCCTACCATGACTGACAACAGGAAGGGGGCCAAGTCCAGGCTCTCCAGCTCAAAGTCAAAATCCAGAACTTCCCCATATCCTCAGGTAAGTGCACTGCCATTTTGCAACTTTCTTTTCTTGTTTGTGTGTGGGGATGACTTGGTTTGGTCTCAAAGTTGAGAAAGTCTTAACACAGTTTGGAATTCATTATCTGGTTGTAATAAATTTAAAACTTCTATGTAAAGCTTTCTAAAACTATCTTCTTCCGCTCTTCTCCTTTTAAAATAACTATGCTAGTAAAAATTTGAAATGATCCTTGGTTTGCTTCTTTTATATGGAGATCGTGAGAGTCTCAGTTGCAGTTGAAGCCATAACTCTGTTTTTTTAAGGAGATTGATTGAAAAGATGTAGCCGGCATAGCAAAATGTGGAAAACAAGAGCTTAACATGGTAAAATTGATTCTTAGGATAGGAACTGAAGTAGAAGGAAATGAAAAGGTGGAGGCCAAGAATCAAGGCTGCGTCTTGTCATGAGATGTATGCATGCGAGGACTATCTGGGGAAGGAGGGAAGTAGAATCTACCAGATGGCAGGAATGGTAGGAAAAGCAACTCTCTTCTCATCTTGACAAAGTGGTGAGCTGATGAGACCCAGATGAGGTAACTCTAGTAATACTGCATGGCACAGGATGAGTCTGTGCTCTTGGAAAGAAAAATACTGTTTTTCTAATCAGTCACTGTTAGAAATTAGACTATACCAAGATACATGCACAACTGTCTCCTGGCCTGAAAGAAGTGGGACAGAATTGGGGATTCTCTACTCCTAGGATCTTGGGACCATCTCACCTCTATCCTTTTCCTTAAGGTGTCACATCACTCGAGTAACTCAGGAGAAGATTCCTAGGCTTATATAAAGCCAAACTGGATTTGGAGTTATTTTGTCAAAGTGGTCTTTAGTGTTTATGTTTTAAATATAGTTTTTAAACTAAACATGGCCATCTACTGGTTACAGAAACTGTTATGGCCTTACTTATCAGAGCAATATTACTCTGTTGATTTCTACAAATGTGTATACTATGTGAGGAAATGTCATTTGTTGAACTCATGCTTACTAAGAAGCTACCATTTGCTAGATTATTTTAGCAGCTTGGTATATAAAGATGAGAAGATCATGGCCCCAAAAGATTTATGTCACACAATTTAAAATCTCCCACAGAAGGCTAGATCTCTTTGCTCTGACAAAAGGGAGGGAGTTGATATGTGACGCCTAGACAGTTTTCAGTGTACACCCTCTGTTATGAGGACTGAGCATTTTACTTAAAAAGTACATTTTAGTTAAAGTCACCATGGAGGAGGAGTTGCTTCTTTTTATTGAACATCTGAGAAGCTTTTATTATTACAATCTTGTACCTTGGGGAAAAATTTTACTGTCTCTTTCTATTACTTGGAAGTATTGATTATGCCTTTGGGTAATTTTATCCTTAAATAAACAGGAATGTTGAACACATAGATGAAAGAAGAATTTAAATTAAGAAATACTATGTTAAGAAGGCATTTATCTGTTGTTATACAGAAATTAAGCCATAAAATATCTCCCCATTGGACTTCCCAAAACTCACTAATTCTGTTCTTACATTCACAGCTCTAACATATAAAATTTCTATTAGTTTGCTCTAATGGTAGACTGCTCATTTTTTAAAGATTGATTGATTGATTGATTTCAGAGGAAAGGAGAGAGAACATGCATGAGTTGGGGGGAAGGCAGAGGGAGAGAGCATCTTAAGCATGCTCCATGCCCAGCATGGATCCCAATGTGGGGCTCAATCTCACAACCCTGAGATCATGACCTAAGCTAAAATCACAAGTTGGACATTTAACCAACTGAGCCACCCAGGTGCCCCTAGATGACTCATTTTTAAAAAAATGTTGCAACTGCCATTAGACTGCTCTTTGTACATGTGGTCATACATGGAGGAGGAGTTAATTTGAAAGTTATACATGTTTCCTAGTTTATTTTAATTTTTTAGAAGATTTTATTTATTTGAGAGAGAGAGAGAGAGCGCTTGCAGGAGCAGAGGGAAGCAGCAGAGGGAGTGGGAGAAACAGGCTCCTTGCTGAGCAGGGAGTCCGAGGAGGGGCTCAATCCCAGGACCCTGGGATCATGATCTGAGCTGAAGGCAGAGGCTTTAACCCACTGAGCCACCCAGACACCCCACATGTTCCCTAGTTTAAAAAAAATACAGAAGATTGTCTACCTTGGACTGGCTGCCTCTGCCTTTGGTAACTCCTCTATATAAATTCTCCAACCTACCAATGTTGACCCATAGATAGGGACATCTCTATGCCTCCATTTAGCAGGAACAAGGTACAAAAGATAAGACCTTCCACCCTCAAAAACCTTAAAGATTTAAGGGTCAAAATTGTTTAGAGGGGGAATGATGTGGAGAACAAAGGCAAGAAAAAAAATGTAGATAAAATTAAATTTCCTTATAACCTTCAACCCACAGACAAATACTTGAGACCGGTAGAATAGACATCGCTCTAGGAAGCTCCACTCTTACTGTTCATGCTTTGCTAGAGAGAAAAGCAACCTTAGCTTGACAATAGTAAGGTCTCCAGGACCCTGTGCATCTTCTTTAGCACATGAATGTTCTTTTGGAAACTTCCCTCTTTCTTTACCTTCCTCAACTCCAACTTATATAATCAATTGCTCCTCATGACCTCCGTGCAGACTTTTCTGCCCACGAGTCCGGTCCCCATGCTCTAATAAAAACACCTTTTGTACCAGAAAAAAATAATAATACAGAAGAGTGAAACATAGACGAAAAAAACACCTCTATTCCCTTATTTTCCCTCTCTGAAATCGCGATTTCTTCTCGAAATATTCTAGGGTGTATAAAAATCATGCACATGCCCACACATATGTCCATATAGGATTTCTCTTGCTGTTTGTGTGTCCATTTTTGTGGCTAGTACTTATATATATGTAGTCCTTAGAACTTGGCTGTATGTCTCATTTGAAATCACACAGGGGGCACCTGGGTAGCTCAGTGGGTTAAAGCCTCTGCCTTTGGCTCAGGTCATGATCCCAGGGTCTTGGGATCAAGCCCCTCATTGGGCTCTCTGCTCAGTGGGGAGCCTGCTTCCTCCTCCTCCTCCTCCTCTCTCTCTCTCTGCCTGCCTCTCTGCCTACTTGTGATCTGTCTGTCAAATTAATAAATAATAATAAAAAAACTTTGAAATCACACAGGCACGAATTAAGTTTACTTAACATTTATGTGCCCAGTAAAGGTTATTTTTTAATTGTGTTTACTTTAGACAATCGTGGTGCTAAGTCAATCATTGACTGAGTTCCTACTATATGGGCTACTAATATGTAGAGATCAGAAGTGGAACACACTGCCTTTGCTTTCAAGAAGCCACTCCTATAGACAGATGAGGGAACAGGCATTTGTAGTGAATTGTCATGGGGTGAGCAGAAGGCCCTCTGGGGGCACATTGGCAAAGCATGAAATCTAGGGCAAACTCCTCACTGTATCTTCTGGAAGAAAACAATTGGGTAGCATCATCTTGGATTTCAAACCCGTAGAAATGTTAAAGAAAAAAAATTATCTACTCAGAAGTCCCATTTGTTTCAAATTGTCCTTATGTTATACTTAACCTTTAATTTTCGTGCATCACTGCTATTATGTGTCCTTGACTCAGGAGATGCTCGCTGATTCCCTGCATTGGAAAGATGCTTTGCTGGCCATTGTGGTGAATGAGGGTAGGGGCTGGGTGAAAGTTGCTAGAATATAAAGAAGTGGTATAAGAAATGTCCTTAAGCTTTACAAGACAGCTGAAATGATAATTTACACTTTAGAATCAGTACTGCATAGGAGAGAGATGACGTACACAAAGGGCTTTATGAGTGGGGTCAGCTGCAGGGAGGTAGCCTGGATGACTGGGGAAGGCATTGTGCCTGACCTGGCTTTGAGAGTTGGGTTCAGGCATACAGGCGTAAGGAAAGGATGAGGACACTTCAGAAGACCAAGATTATGAAGAAATGGCAGAGATGCATTGTGACTGGAACTGGAGCCAAGTGGGGAAGATTTTCGTCCCTGTGGTTGAGGACTAGGGATGATACATTGGGAAACGTTGGTTGGTGCCAAGTATCTGCCAGGCCAAGGAATTCCGAATTTGTTTTATGGAGAGCCAGTAGAGGTTTTTGAACAGGAAATGAGGGCATTAAGGTGGTTGAAGCAAGGCAGACTCCTCATGTGAAGAGTCCTGGCATGCATCTGGGAAGGTCTGAACTAAAGTTCTCTACAGAAGTAAACAACCTTAGAGAAGAAGAATGGATGAAGTCCTTTTTATCCTTGGCTGCTTGCACCAATTCTCCTTATAGAGTTATTTTGATCACTAAAGACTTATCTTGAAATTATACTTTTAAAGATTTTATTTATTATTTGACAGACAGAGAGGCAGGCAGAGAGAGAGAGAGAAGCAGGCTCCCTGCTGAGGAGAGAGCCTGATGCGGGGCTCGATCCCAGGACCCTGGGATCATGACCTGAGTCAAAGGCAGAGGCTTTAACCCACTGAGCCACTCAGGGGCCCCAAGCTTTTGTGTTTAGTTTTGAATACTTCTGCCCCTTTTCTCAAAAATAAAAAGAAAACCTCGTCTGTTATTTGCATGGTTACATGCTTTCAGCGTGCAAATTCTTCTCATTAGAATTTTCAAGAGGCAGTTTCCAGAGCAAAGCTGAGCTCACATGGTACATCTTGCTCCTCTTATTAGTTATGTAAATGGTGATTTAATTATTCTATCAATGTTATTTATTAGGCTCTTTGCTCTATGATACGTTGGGCATATCTAGAAATCTCTCAAAGTTGTCTGCTGAATGGCAAATAGTAACACTGCTTTTTGGAATTATTTAGGCACCCTTCTTTGAACATGTGAGACATGCACAAATTGTAATTTGCTGTCACACCCAGTTTGCAGTAATAGATGAACCTTCAGGTCCCTTCCTGATATGAGATGCTCTTGGGAATGATTTTAGACTTGATTATATTATAGCCACTTAATGAATGACTCAATCACCTTTGTACCTCTATGCATTACTCAGGA